AGCTGCTACAGTCCTGAAAGGTCAAGGTCGTAGCTGCTACAGTCCTGAAAGGCCAAGTCCGCAAACTTCTGGAAGGTCCGGAAGTGGCCTTTCAAGTGTCTTCTCACGTTATACACCTGTCTCTTATACACATCTAGATGTGTATAAGAGACAGCCCCTTAATCTACAATAATGACAAAAAAAAAAAAACACTGATGCCAAAAAAACAAAACAAAACACAACCGCCTTAATGAAACTGCCACCCTGACGCCACTGCCGGCCTGAGTTACAACCGCCTTTTCGAACTCAGGTCATGACAAAGTTGCCGATGCCTGTTTTTTCTGCCCATTACGAACTCCCATGTGACATAAACATACTTCCCCCAATTTTGAAATAGAACAAATTGGTTGTTCTCTTGGTACTCCCTACGCACGCGTGTTTGGAAACTTCTCTGCTGGTATTGGCGAGCTTGGTTGTTGTCATTTGCATGTGAGACCATTGCAGTGGCATATTTAGAAAAAAAAAAACTCATCTCTGCAAGGCGCAAAACTTTCTGGATGAGGAGAAGAAGAGGGAGGAGGATGCAGAGGGCAGGGCTATGGGAGGGGACGACCACCCTAAGATGGTCATGGTGGGTCACAGGGAGGGGATGGCCACACTAAGATGGCTGTGGCGGGTCGAAGGGAGGATACCCGCTCTGATCAAACCCCCCTTCACGAGCTGCCCTTGATTGCGGGATGTTATCTCAATCTATGCAGGTACGTGACATCTAATCTTTCACCTCTCTATTCTTCACTTGGTGGTTGTTGATCGAGTTCGCTATGATCGCCCGCTTGACATCCATGCCAAGTGGGCCAACATCTCTTCCGTCTCCCGTCTCATCCTTTTTTGTGCGAGCTCCCATGATACGGAGATACTAGATGTGGCTAAGCTTGGCTCTTGTCCTGGGCATCTCCACTAGCTGCCTGACGTAGCTTACACGCCTTCACCACACTATTGGTTAACGGGGACCCCCACTTTTCGGCCCTGGGTAACCATGAATGATCCTGAAATTAGGGTTTCACCAATGGTCTAATGTTAAACTTTACACCTCTCCAGCACCCTCTTGGCTATCACCAAGGGAGCTGCAGGGCTTCCCTCCCAGGTATCTCCAAAGACTCTGGTTGCCTTTGTGCACCTTGCCAAGAACCAGAAGAAGGAGCAGAGAGCGGCCCTCGATGAGGGCGCAATCAACACTGTTCAGGGGCCCTTCAGCCTAAATGGAAGGAAGCATTGCGTGTCAGTTTATGTATCTCCCATCAGTTGTGGGTGGGAAAGAAATCAGACTGATGCTCATCAGATTGGACAAGGAGCCAGGTCCAAAAGGTCCTTTTCTCCCCCGAAGATTTGGACTCTGACAGATTGTTTTCTCAGTAGATCCAAATAACGTTCTCAGGGGACATTGAACCTAGGGGGAGGGCCGTTTGGGCAACAGGATAGAACCCGCAACCTTACCGAATATTCTCTTGAAACTTTTGTCTTTTTCTATTCACTGCTGGCAGAATTCCAACCTAGGACTCTTGTTAGAATCCCTGTAGCCCTTTCCAGACCGGTATATCTATGTTTTCTGACAGGCAGATCCAGTAGACCTAGGATCTTCTGTAAGGTCCCACATATGCAATGATCATCAAAGAATACATGCAGAGTATACATCCAGTGCCAAAAGTACATGGTTGCATAGCGCCGTATGCTGGAAAGCAGCTCGTTCCCAGTGAAGAGCTGGGCAGCTGAGGCAACAAAGTTTCAATTGGCAAGTTTGCTCAAGTATGAAGAAGTAGCATTAGTTTTAGCGCTAGAAGCAATTAGACTGGTCACAGAGTCTGACATAGTCAGGAAGCTCTGGCAGTATACCTACATCAATTTTTATTCCCACGAAGCTGTGCAATCAAAGATGCTGAGCAAAACTGGAAGAAAAAACTTTGAAAAGGAGACTAGCATGCAGTGCAGCTTGCCACTGAATGGGAATTATTGAGAATGGAATTCTTATGGATTGAGTGAGTAAGCACTGAGTATTGCTGTTTTGACATTTTGTCTCCCGTCTTTGCAAATCAGGTACATAGTGAGATTGAAGACAGGGACCAAACCACAAGCTGCAGAGACACTGTGCTTCTTCTTGCAGATTTTCAATAGCACATGTGTGGAAAGGTGGGTGGAGTTTGCGAATAATTTTTCTCTTGCCAAGGGCCTGTGAAGCCATGCCTTCATTTTGCCACGTATAACTGTTGAGAATGTCTTTCTGTGGCCATGTTTTCCGTCACACACTACTCTGTCCCAAGTCTCATCCCTAGCAGCGATGGCTGCACAATGCTGTCCTGATTGTTTTGTTTTGTTTTCTGAAGGGGGGTAGCGATGTGAACCATTGCTGCCTGCTGAACCTCAGGCCTAAGTGGAAGAGCCTGATCTTTTGTTATGCGACGAGGCCACACCATTGCGATCTGCAGTCGAACAGAAGACATTACCTGCCACAGTTTCTGTACACAATCTGAGAAGACATTGGAGGCAGTAGTGGTCTACTCTGTGGATCACCTTATCATTGACCTGCCAGACAGGTACTCATGATATGCTTGTGATCAGTTAGTATGAAATATCTCATGGGAGATCTCATACATAATAGAATCTGACATCAGCAGTTAGTAAGCTAGATAACGGAAAATCAAGGTCGGCCCTACCAGCTTGTGGTTAGTTATGGTCACCATTCAACCTGCATTGCCTAATGTTTTGCAGTGCCAGTAGGGCCAGTCTAGGAAACGTTTGAGATCCACTGAATCCACTGCACTATTCGGCATGCTTTGACAAAGGATTTGGAGGGCCTGCTGACTAACGTCTTTGCCCGAAGAGCAGCAGTTAACAGCGGCCTAAATTTCAGGGTTTCTCATCGTCTTTGTAGCAAAATCCCAAAATCTTTCAAACCAAACTTGTCACCAACCTATGGACTGGACACCAAATAAATCAACGGCCCCAAAAAAAATCATAATGAAAGAACAAAAGGAGTCTACACCTGTAAGGGAAAACTGTTTTTTAATGCAAAATTCACCCCTGTGCAAGCATTATGATATGATCAATGCGAATTACAGAAACCAAATTGCATCGTCCCATTGAAAGCCAGAAAGTCATATGCGCGAACAGAAAGCAGAATGCACCAAGTTATACACCAAATAAGAGCGAAGCAATGAAGACAATTGACAATGCAAGCCCTCTTCTCGCCTCCACCATCGATGTTCCAATGTCGCTCTCCTATATGGCACGCGGTGCCCAGACCACTATCCAACAGCACCTAGACTATCCTAGCCTCTAATGATGTCAACAGGTCTTCATGAAGTGCAGCTGCCCCTCTTCATGAAGTGCAGCTGCCTGATGACAAATGAAGACTTTCGCTGGACCAACCCTCTCATCACCACCAGGTAAGAGCTCTCTCAACTCTTTCGCACTCTCGTCACATATTGCCCACAACCAGCGCACACCACAGCACCCTCACCCAAGGACCACCACTGCTTCGGCTATGGTATCATGCTCCCTGCCTGCTGAACCCTAGCAGCGGCTCCCACGCGCCCTGTCAGCATCCGTCCACTCTGCACGACTCTAATCAAGGAAGCCAACACCCCAACAGTGCTGCCGCCGTCCAGCCAGCCAGAATGTATCAGAAGTGAGTGCCCTCACTTCCCTTTGTGCCTGACTGGTTGGGCAAGGCAGGCTCTGGATGCGCGGCCTCTGTCCCAGTTGCTGCACCCAGGGCCCTTCCATAATGTGCATGGCCTCGCATCTTTGCTGGGCCCAACTTCTTCAACCTATTGGGTCAAGTCGGTTGGAGATGCTGCGTGCAGCAACCAACCCATGAGGCGCTGTCTGCTGGCAATCCCTGACGTCATGGTTGCCCTCACAACTCAGACTGAGTGGAACTTGTGGCCAGAGAGCGTCGACATTGACATCTGAGTTCATTGTATTGCTCTTATCTGGATGGTATCGTGGTGCATTGTGCTCTCTGCTTGGTACATGACTACCTGGGCTACTTCGTGATTTTGCAACTTGGATTTCTGTCTATCACTCTCGCTCATATTCCTTTCACTTAACCCTTGAGCTTCCATCTCCTCCATTCCGAGAGTTCCTTCCTTTGCTGCTGCAAGCATGTGATATATGTGGAGGAGTTAGGGTTTAGAGCCAAGTTCACTTCAGCAATTTTGACTGCTAATTATAACGTCTCCTTCTGCTCCTTTCTTGATTTGCTATTCTTCCCAAGTACGGAGGTATTTGTTCCGAGAGTTTCTTCCTTTGCTGCTGCAAGCATGTGATATATGTGGAGGAGTTAGGGTTTCAAGCCAAGTTCACTTCAGCAATTTTGACTGCTAATTATAACGTCTCCTTCTGCTCCTTTCTAGATTTGCTATTCTTCCCAAGTACGGAGGTATTTGTTCAGAGAAATTGGTGTAGCTAGCAATCGACCAGCCCCATCTGTCTTTTTCTTTCCCCCCCCAGAAAAAAGTTCCACTTCAGCCTACTATAGGAGGTGATATGAGCATCCTCCCATAGTAGACCTACTGCAGAATGCTCCTGTCTATTGGTGGGAAGCAGCACCTGCTGGAAACTGGGTCCAGTGTCCCATGAACATCGTGATTAAAGCACCAGCCGGGACCCTTCCCCGATTCTGAATAAGTCAAGAGCGGAGTTGAGATGATGTGGGGCATGCGGGCCCGAAAATGGTCCGGAAGAGCTCATCTCCTGCTTACCAGCCCCATCTGTCTTGACTTCGGAGGGAGGATTTTCTGTATAGCATCCAGTTTAGTCGTGTTTCTGTATTGATATCATTTAGGGCCAGTAAGGAGTTGTTGAATTTCTAAAACCTGTTGCCTCAGTCGAATGTGATGCCGAAGCTCAGTGGGATGTGGATGGCTTTGTGCCCTGGACACGAGGAGAGGGCTGGTGGCAATAGCTCACATTCTTTCAGGACACCCATTTATGCTTCCAATGATAGAAACTGAGAAAGTCGGAGATTCATGAGAGGTGAAACGGTTTTCACCTTTTGCAGTCACAGATGTGGATCCCAGGGCTCGATCCCCAGACCTTACCTTACCTTACCTCACCTGTGTACAGGATCAAGTCGACCCTGTGTGTCTTGAACCCGTGACCTGTGTTAGTAGTTGAAAGCTGTCTGTCGTAGGTCTGAGTAGTTGTTGGGTTTTGAACCTTAGACCTGTCGAAGTAGGGGTCATACCTGCAAGGGTCATAGTTATTGTAGTTCTGAAAGGTCAAGGTCGTAGCTGCTACAGTCCTGAAAGGTCAAGGTCGTAGCTGCTACAGTCCTGAAAGGTCAAGGTCGTAGCTGCTACAGTCCTGAAAGGTCAAGGTCGTAGCTGCTGCCGTCCTGAAAGGCCAAGTCCGCAAACTTCTGGAAGGTCCGGAAGTGGCCTTTCAAGTGTCTTCTCACGTTATACACAGCAGACCAGAGGCAAGTGGGCAAGTGGTGAGTCCAACTTCGCTTAGTCAGCGGTACTCAGTCCCAGTCTCACTTTGTACAGTCAGCAAGTACCATGAGGGACTGTGTGCACCATGGACCCAGTGGAGAAGGGCAGACCAGCGACTTACAGAAGTATAAATCAAGAGGCAGCGTCCAACCATTCCTCCATTCCTGCATGAGCCATGCGGAAGCGCTGCCCTAGCGTCTTGTGCGAGGTGGTCTGCAGTTTGCCCGAAGTTGAAGTGGGCTGAGGTGGAGATTAGCACAGCCATAGCTGCTTGTAGTTAGTAGTAGTTGGTGGCCAGAGCTGCCATAGCTAGCAATAGGTGTTAATCAGAGTGAGTGAGTGTGTGTGTGTTACAGAGTGTATGTGCGTGTGATATCTAGGGAGATCCAAAGCCGAGTGCGTGTGAACAGTTGGATGAACACAGTGTTGGACAGAGGATGTGTGGGCGCTCAGGCGCCATAGCCAATTGGAAGCGAGTTTGTAACTGAACTGTGTTCTTTTTTTTTTGTTTTTTTTTGTTCTTTTTTTTGTTTTTGTTTTTGTTAGAGAAAACTCCCATGAAACACAGCTAGGGGTAATGATAAGATCATGTACCCCTAACTATATTCGTAGGTGGCTCCGATCTATTAGTGGGGAGCATCACGTGCTGGAAACCGGGTCCAGCGTCCCATGATAACATTCACTGATGAACATAGTTAACCAAGGAGCCACAGTTGCCTCCTCGGTCCCTTAGGGACCGCCAGAAATAACAATCAGCGCTAGCTACCATTGCTCCTCATAAGATTATCCTGAATTTATCAACTCCCCTCCAAGCCAAAACATTGTATTTCTACAAGTGCAAGTTCGGAAGGGGGAAATGGATCTGCACAAAAGATTGGAGCTCTGAGAGTAGCTCCTGGATGAAGAGTAAACCAATCCTTGAAGATGAGCTGGAAGTCCCTTTTGAAGGATTCCTCCCTCTCCCCTTCTCCTGGCCATATTACCTTCCCCAGGTTCCTTTCCCCAGTACCCCCGAGCCAGTCCATAGTAAAGTTCTGGATTGCCTTTTGGATGTCTTTTTTTTGTTGGTAATTATGTAGTTTAGATATGACTGCCGCCCATTGGGCTCTAATCTCTGTTTGTGCAAATTGGACAATTTGTTCAATCATCTCTGGTCCCTCCAGATTTACTTCTTCATGTACAAAAACACTCCTCTTATACCATAGTGTCCATAAAACCGCTTTCCTACTGATTTAAAAAAAGTTGAATTGGAAATTGGATAGCTCTAGGTCTTGTGGAACCCAGCATCCTAAGAGGATAGCCTTCCAATCCCAGGGTCAGTCTAGATCCGTTAGTTATCGCCATGTGCAGTCCCACCTGCACCATGTTAATACTGAACCGGGGCATTGCATAAAAATGTGCTCTATGGTTTCTCTACATTTTCTCCTTGGGAAAGTGGACAAACAAAAACTGCACCATGGGGAGACTAAACCTTTTAGTGGTCAATAATCCAATCATTTGTGGGGAGACAACGATGTGCAATTTGCCACTGCAATGAGGCGAACTTAGCTGGTCTTTGTCTTATGTTTGAAAAAAAAATTATGTTCTTGAGTAGATTTATGTCTAAATTCAAGTGTCTAGACCATCTCTCTTGTAAAATTGTTGCAATGTCCACCTTTGGTCGTAGAAGTTTGTAGGCCGCTTTCACCG